GTCAGAGGGGGTGGAAATGGGCGATGGAACAGCCGCAATGGCAGAATGACGATCTCCCGAAAGTGGTTGTTACCCCACTTCAGAAAAAGTAATATTTCTACTTCGTGGAACGCCTGGCACGGATAGCCCGACTTGTGTCGAATTTCATATTTTAAAATGCTTTCTTCGTCTTTACATCGTACCACTCAAGCTTTCTGCTCGGAATAAAAACATAAACACATTCCATGGAAATTCTCCTGAAATCCCAGATTTTTATGTTTCAAACCGCAAGAAAATTCGATGATTCACGACTGAGAAATCGAAATTTAAAACAAGTACCCCCCCAAATCTAAGCACACAAAATTGCGAGACGGCCGAGTTTTCCCGTGTTAAACTTAAGTCAATTAAAAACTAAATATGCAATCATAAGTATCAGTTTCTCGTTCACCATGGAGAAGGAAAGACACAGAAAACAGTGGTATACTTTTTATTAGTGTTTACCAAAATTAAAACCAGCTAATAGTTGGATGAAGTTGTCTAAATCTGGCTCCAGCCGTAGCTGTCTGCCTGGAAAACGGCTCGCCTGCGGTACCTATTAAAAGGCGAAAAAATTTGATGAAAATTTCTCAATAACATAAAAAATGTTACCAGTTCCGTTTACAGCTTCCCATAAAGGCCACGGCCTTTATAAAAACCAGAATTCTGTTGGGATCAACGACTGAAAACAGATCTTGCAATTTTTTGCATCTAAAATATTTCCTTCGGGTCTCTCCAGTCTAGTTAGAGAATGATAGATTTAGTTAGAGAATGATCGGTCAGTGCCAGTTAGAAAATGATAGATCTAGTTAGAGAATGGTAGATCTAGTTAGAGAATGATAGATCTAGTTAAAAAATGATAGATCTAGTTAGATATAGATCTAAGCCAGTTAGAGAATGGTAGACCTAATTAGAGACCGATAGATCTAGTTGGAGAATGATAGATCTATGCCAGTTAGAAAATGATAGATCTAGTTAGAGAACAATAGATCTACTTAGAAAACAATAGATCTAGTTACAGAACAATAGATCTAGTTACAGAACAATAGATCTAGTTACAGAACAATAGATCTAGTTAGAGAACAATAGATCTAGTTAGAGAACGATAGAACTAGTTAGAGAATGATAGAACTAGTTACAGAACGATAGATCTAGTTAGAGAATGATAGATCTAGTTAGAGAATGACAGATCTGTGCCAGTTAGAGAAGGACAGATCAGCGCTGACATCTGCTCACCTTCCTCAAGAGGTCCGTGACAAAGCGTGCCCCGTGAGACAGTGACTCACAGCTCCCGGTCACCTGACCATGTTCTCCGCCCGCCGCGCCGCGCCGCGCCGTCAGTCCAGTCTCCACAGTGAACTCTGGGGGACAACTCCAACTGTTAGCGACAACCTTCATCATCATCATCATTATCATCTCCATCATCATCATCATTATCATCTCCATCATCATCATCATTTCCATTATCATCTCCATCATCATCTCCATCATCATCTGCATCATTCTCATCATCATCTCCATCATCCTCATCATCATCTCCATTATCATCATCATCTTCTTCATCCTCATCAATAATTCTGCTCACCTGTGATGTCCACTATCTCCTGGTCATCGCCACCACCCTGAGAGTCGTTTGTTCGTCTGTCTGTCACTCTCAGTTCCTTCTCCAGAGTGGAAGACAGAGTGAACGTTGGAGGAAGAAGTTGGGAAGACAGAGCGAGTGTCGGAGGAAGAAGCTGAGACACCCTCCCCTCCACCACGCCCTCCACACCCTCCTCTGTGTCGCCCCGCGTGGCCTCTGTGTCGCCCCGCGTGGCCTCTGTGTCGTCCCGCGTGTCGGGAGGAGGAGGGAGAAAACAGTTAAAGACACGTCAGCTGGTCTGGCGGGAGTAGACAGGTTTATTTGTACCACAGTTGTACAAGGACAGACACAACTTATTGTACCACAGTTGTACAAGGACAGACACAACTTATTCATGTCTGAGGTGTGTCGGGTGTGCACAAAAATACGAAGAGATCGACATCTTGTTTTAGTAAGAGTTCTACATCTTGTTTTAGTAAGAGTTCTACATCTTGTTTTAGTAAGAGTTCTACATCTTGTTTTAGTAAGAGTTCTACATCTTGTTTTAGTAAGAGTTCTACATCTTGTTTTAGTAAGAGTTCTACATCTTGTTTTAGTAAGAGTTCTACATCTTGTTTTAGTAAGAGTTTTACATCTTGTTTTAGTAAGAGCAGAGACACTAAAATATAGAGACAGGAAACAAGGCCTCGCAGTCCGTGACAACAGTGCATTTGCGAACGTGACCGCTGAGACGCGAGCTAAAAATAACCAGGCGCGGTATCGACAGCGAAGCGCGTTGCGTCTAGCCTAGGCCTTATCGAAACGAAGCGCGTCGCGTCTAGAGGGGCCTAGGCCTAGCTTTCTGCGGCTTAGGCCTAGCGCAATCAGAGAACTGGCCAAGGTTGCATTTGTAAACACTGCCCCTACAATCTATACTCTTCTGGTCTACAGAAAAATTTACACATGTGGAAGAAAACAGGACAACAGATTTTAAAATTGAATTCTAGATCTAGGCCAAGTTATAAAATAATGTCGATCTAGCATAAAACCAAAACATGTCTTGATAATATGTAAACCGAAAACTAGATCTAGAATCTACATCTAGATTATATCTAGAGACAGTGTCAGTAGTAACATAAGAAAAAAAGTCATCTAGACTCTAGATCTAGATTGATCTAGATATCTAGCTTACAACATAAGCAGTTTAATTTAAGATAGCCTAATAAAGGTTAATACATTTTTACTTATTTTACTAATTAGTTACATAGCCCTACATGGAGTCTGTGGGTAGAGAAGAGTTGGAGAGAAAAGAAAGAGAGCATGCAATAGCATATAGATCTATGCCTATAGGCAATGATGAGAAAAGGCAACAGACTCTAGAAATAGAAAACAGAATTCGTTTTGTGTAGCCTAGGCTAGGCATATGGATAAAAACGGGAATACAAAGCGACAGATCGAACTCACCAGAGGCCTATATATACATATATATATATATATATATATATGTGTGTGTGTGTGTGTGTGTGTGTGTGTGTGTGTGTGTGTGCGTGTGTATGTGTGTGTGTGTATATACATAAACATGTATAATGCATCTTTCGTGGATTAATAGCATTTTACTGAAACTGGCTCTTACAATTAAGTGGGTGAATGTGCCAGTCTTTCTTAGACTGTATTGCTGTATGCATTGTCTCTTGCTGATTCTTTTGTATATTATGTCCATACTTCTCTGTCAGGCACATACATTTGGGACATTACAAAATTCAAGGGTGGTCCTGACAGGGTCAAGCTAGCACTTTCTTACTTAATAATAATTAAGTAAGCTTTGTAATTTCTTTGTCTCTTTAATTTTGTTACATTATTCCGTAGTACATTTATTACAGCAGGGCATTGTCTTCTTAGATGTCA